ATGTGTGTAGGTAATGAATAATTGAACTGCAGTCAGATAGAGACATATTGTTGAAGTGAATTATAGTTTGTTATAGCACGACTGTTGAAGTTGAGTGTATCGTTAAGTTGTATTCTGACAGAATAAACCAGTTTTATTAAGAAAGGACTTGTGTCGCTAAAGTTTCGTCGGAACGAAGTTACGGAAAATCAACTAACGAACGAGACGTAACAGTATTTTACTGAAAGGATCCCACAATTTAACTCAGCTATTCTTATTTCTCAACTGTTAGCCTTTCAAAATGCTCATCTGCATCTAAATAAATGGATTAACAATTTATATGATTACTTATTCTATTCATATGTGCAAACAAATTCCTTTAGAAAACAAGTAAATATATTGTTGCGTCATCGAGGTCACGTGACTGGTGTGGCGCCACCTATTTTCTAGAACTATCCTGTACCTTGGCGAATGCTCTAGTGCTTACTAGATATAGGGTAGCCTGGTATATAAAAGAGGGTGACAACGTGACGAGAGAATAACGTGTGTGTAGATAGTGAGTAATTGAACTGCAGTCAGAAGTATTGTTGACGTTCGTTGATATAGTGTTTGTTTTAGCGTGATTGTTGAAAATAAGTGTATCGTGAAGTTGTATTCGGAAAGAATAAACCAGTTTTATTAAGTAAGGATTTGTGTCGCCAAAGTTTCGTCGGAACGAAGTTACGGAAATATCAACTAACAAACGGAGACGTAACAATATGCTCAGGTTTAAGCTAAACTCTTGATGGTGTCATTACTTTATTTGACAACTTTGCACATATATTAAAATATATCACTCTTTGCAATAAATGTGTAAATTAACGTCTTCTAAGACATTAATTGTTTTTGGCAGCATTTTATAAGAAACATGCCACACAAGATAATGTTGTATAGAATTTGTGGAATAATCCAATAAAAACAAAATTTAATGAAAAATAGTTATTAAATAGTAAATTGGTAGCTTCTGATTTTGAATTATTACATATTTTTCTGGAGTACTTAATGATTAGTTTTAAAAATATTTTGATTTAAATTGTTTTTATTATATGTAGACAAACGGAGAAGAAGACTGGGAATATGAAGAAATAACATTAAATAAAGTAAGTTGTTTCACTTTGGTAACAAGTAATTTTTCAGTTATTGTTATCAGTATGAATTGTGTGTGAAGATGAATGATGCTTTAATAACAGAAAAAGTCAAATTGTTAGTAATTTAAGAAATCCTATTAAGCTGTTTTCTGTTTTTTTCTATATATGTATAATTATATCATTAAAAAAACAAAAAATATTTTTCTTATTTGTTAAAAAAACTTAAAACATAAAAACTTAATCTAGATCAAGATAAATGTCACTTTTTTACATTTCACATGCTACACCTCAGAAATTCTTTCTTTTTTTATGTTAAAATCCAACTAAAATGAGTTTCCATGGGCAATTTTCCCAGGGAGAAGCAGGGCTAGGGTTTAGTATTGCTGGAGGAGTTGATAATCCACATGTTGACAATGATACAGGTATCTACATCACTAAACTGATCCCTGGAGGTGCAGCAGCTGTAGATGGAAGGTTACGGTAAATGTTTCTCCTTATCATAAAGGTTTCTGAATTGTAACGTTTATTAATTTACACCTAGTATGATTTTATTTTTCAAGGCATGCTTTGCAACTTATAACAGGTAAATTCAAAGACAAGATTATTCAGATTTAATATCATGCCTGAAAAATGCTGTAGTGGCTAATGCTAAAACACTTCATAAATAATTAAAATATACAAGCTTGTAATTAATCAAGTTACAAATAGTCTTGTGCATTTTAGGTTGTAAAGTATTTTCTGTCGATTTTTACTTTAATTCATTTTGAGTTGAAAACTTTTTTTTCATAAAAACAACTATATTTCTGGATAACTTTGTTATTCTCAGCTGTAAATTCATCATTGTTGATTCAATGCCAATACATTTTTTGGAATCAGTCTATTAACCAAAGGTTTTGCTACATTTATAATTTTGCTTGTAGTAATTGCCCCCCAGTGACACAGCAGTATGTCTGCGGACTTACAACGCTAGAAGCCGGGTTTCGATACCCGTGGTGGGCAGAGCACAGATAGCCCTTGTGTAACTTTGTGCATAATTAAAAAACAAACAAACATTGTAGTAATTTGACGCATTTTAGCTTTTATTAACAAATTATTTTGAATAAAAATACTTATAATAAAAGTACAAATATAGACTGTTTCTATAACTTTGAAACAATTACAGTACACCCCATTTACAACCTTGTACTTTATTATTTTTTGAAATAAATATGAAAAATGTTGATCATATTTTTTAATGAACTCAAAACCTTTTGTAGCTTAATTTGAATATTGATAGCTTGCTACCAATTATAGCTTTGCTATTTTCAGAAAACTAAAATTTATATGTTTCAATACATGATGATACAAGCTGTATTCCAGACTTAAGCTAGATTGCCAGTGTATTTGTGTGTGAGATGTTTTTAAAAATAATCTTGATCTGTAGGTATAAGTCTAAACCATATGGCTATTTTGAAAGCAAACACTATTTTTCTTCTGTTGTTGCAACACATTTTGTTTACACCATATTTTAGAAGTAAATTAAGTTCTGGAAACAATTAGAAAAATGGAATACATTTTTAGGAGTTGCTACTTTTAACTAGTTTTTAAACTGTGGCAGTAGGGAGAGTATATATATATATATATAGCGAATTATTTATATGCTTGTTTCATTGTTTTACATTTCAGTTTCCTTTTCTTCTTAATGTTAGAATAGTTTTTTATAGCACAAAGCTCAGATATGATATACCTGGTGTTTTCTAAAAACTATTATTCTTTTAATTCTGTATGAAAGAAGAATTAATTGGTTTTTACTATTATAATCAAAAGCATTATTCTTATAAAAATTTTCTAATTTTGCTAAAAGCTAATTGCTGTTTATGCTAACTATATATAACTTACTTCTGTATTTGATTCTTCAGTGTGCAAAGAAATATTAGAAAAAGTAGGATTTTAAATGTACAAAATAATTTTGTTATTGAGAAGTATCACTGGTGATGAACAATGATGTGAACTGTATGGTTCATTTCAGTAACTGCTCACACACTACCATGTTTCAGGGTGGATGACATCATATTAAGAGTAAATAATGTGGACTTGGTTGATGTGCCCCATTCTGTAGCTGTAGATGCATTAAAACGAGCAAGGGATGCTGTACATTTGGTATGTGGTATTTTTTTTAAGGTTGATTTAATAATGGTAAACAGAGTTCTACCAAAGCAACAGTTCTAAATGCCTAAATATAAAATTGTTTTGGAATATAATTTAAAGTACTCTGAAGATAGACAGAAAAGATTAATTTTTTGCCAAAATATTAGCAACTTCCATTATTCTCTGTAAAAATAGCTAACATTTATATCTATTCTTTCACACATTGTATAGTTTAATAAAAAAATGAGCATCCACTTCAGGGGATCTCGCCTTGAGTAAGACAGATATAACATGATTATGAGTAATAATAATTTTAAGATAGCCTATGATTGCACCAGTGATTGAAGTGTCATACCTGTTCTAAGAACAAATATTCCACACTGTAAAAGCTGTAACTTGTAATAAAATAATGAAAATGAGTTGGTTTAATATACTCTTTATTAGATTTACTTTAATTAGAAGTTTTATACTTGAATAAAGCTGAAAATTAGTCTTCTATGAACCACTTGATTTGTAAATATCATAATGAAAATTACCACATAACCCAATTTGTGTCCTATACACAACTACAGAATGGTTGATAGCTAAAAATGTAGATGATATAACTAATTGCTAATATTTCTTCCTGGATATATATTTCTACAGAAGAAGGATATTGAACAATACAAAATTGTAATTAATAATAGAGATGCTCATGAAAAGAACTTGTAGGTATTGAGTGGAATCAAGTTTTAGGCAGTGAAGAATAGATTATTGGATAATCTGTTCTAAGCAAACTGTCTCAAGGTGGACAACATTTTGAAATATAACACCACATTCTAGTCAAAACATTGTCACAGCTGAAAGTGCTACTAATTTCACTTTTCCATAAATCTTATAGAATATATTTTTAGTCAGAAGTATTCTGATAATCATTATAAATTTTCAGACAAGTGTTTAGCATGGGGTTATGACATTCTCATAAACTGGGTTTTGAAAGATCCTCAACTTGTGCTAATACTTTTAGTTAAGTACATATAGAAATGGGTAGAAGCTTGAACCACTTTAGCTCAGTGCTCATGGAGGAAGGGGGGGGGGGAGAGTCCATCTCAAGGCATGATACAGATACTTGTACAGATTGGTATGATTTGTATTTTGTTGTTTTCCATACACATATGTATTTAATTGTATGTGGTTTGGAATAGTCATGATGTATGCAGCTAGGGATTATGGTGTACCATACTTGATCACATAAACTGAATTAAAAGTGCAGTACATCATATTTCCTTTTGCCCCTGACCAGTTTGCATAGGTATCTAAATTGCTAACATTTTGGACACCCCAAAACATCCTGTCATAGATCCTTTATATTTGCCCAATGAGATGGTGATGGCCATGACAACAATTATTGTAATGTCAAGCCATTACTTGTTAATTTTAATAGCTTGCATCCTTCTTATTCATGACCATTGTCTAAGGGGGAGGATGAAAAGGAGGTATTATATATCAACATGCTGAAAAATATCACTTAAATTGAGGCACACACACACAAACACATGTACACTTGTAACACCAATACTGAGGCTTAGTTATGCTTTAGCTGTGTGTTCCACCATTTTGGTTGAAGTACAAACATTCATCTCTGTAACCACTATCTGAATCTTTCTGCCATATATGCACACCTTGACAGCTTCCGAAGCTCTGTCTTCTGACAAGACTATCTGTACCTCCATTTGATTCCTACCTATTAATTTTCTTTCTCAAGACATTGGGATTAGAATAGATAGTTAGTCCTTCACTTCTAGGACTTGGCCTGTGGATGTTCATAGAAACACCAAAAATTGCTATATATATACTCACCAAATCTTCTAAGTGGTTATAACCACTTTTCGTAAGTGGAACTATCATATTTTACTTTTGAACTCATCAAAGACTTGACTTATTTTTACCAACCTTACATGTATCTCCCTACAGAATACATTCCTACACACCACCAATACATTTTATATTTAGCATTTTTTTATGGCAGGAATATACAAGATCTGTAATGGACATGTTCATGTTGGTGTATTGGTGTTTGTCACCCATCGCATTCCACCCATCCCTTGTCATATCATATCATACTGGAGTCTTTTGCTATCTATGATACATTGACTGTTTTATTATTCTGTTTCTTACATATGTCATCTGGAGAAGATGCTGATTAGATAGATGTATCAGCTGCTATCTCCATTTCTCATCTTAGGGGACTTCCATGGACACTGCCTGCTCTGGTCCTACGTTAATAAATATATAAGAGATAAGAATTTAGAATATCTACTTTTGGATCGAAATATAACCTTCTTGAACTTTGGCATAATGGTATAATTGCACACTCTGAGTCAAGTGTTATACAACCGATATGCCACTAGAACTCAGGCCCAATAAATCAAACAGCATGCAGTCAGATGGACTTGTGAATTTATTTCATCACTAGCACCTCTTCCCTTACAAGGTCTAAGATATTTTTTGGGAAAAATGTGGAAGGTGAGTGGCAAATATACATACTGTCATCTTTCTGTTTGCATTCCTACAGTCTGATAGTGGCTGCTTTTCTAAATTACCAACACCCTTGGGGGGGGGGGAGGTTCTTAGCATCCCAGTTCTTCATCTGTTATCCAGCTTTCCTAGATATTAAGATATGAATTGAAAGCATTCCTCTCACTTATCACTCCAACAATTTTGAGGATTATAACAGGTAATTTATGTAGGTGGGACTTCAATCACACACTGTACTAGTCTCGCAGTACATCCATCAGACCAGATATGATGCTCATTACAAGATGCTTCACTAGCTTAATCTGTCTTTTTCTTTTCCACCACATGTGGCCCAAGGGTGCTTTAACTAAGCTGTGGTATCAAGCTATTGTCATTCCTTTCCCAAAGTCTTGGGAAGATCTGATGAGTTTCCTAATGATTATAAACCAATTGCTTTGACTATCAACCTTTGTAAGGTGTTTAACTCCTAGAATTAAATAACCTTTTTAAAACACTCATCATGGTTTATGTAGACAAAGGTCCACCATTTATCATCTGATAAGACACAGAACATCTGTCAGCAAAGCCTTTCTTAGTTGAAAGCAACTAGTTTTCATTATTTTTTACTTAGAATAGGCATGTTATACCATAAGAAATTTTGTATTTTATGAGATACTTGTTCTTACTATTTTTCCATTTTATCCATAACTTGTTTTAGAGAATAATCCTTTATGGGTTTAAGTGCGACACTTTTTCATATTAAAGTTAATGCCATTACAAAAAACAAACATCCTCCATTAATTGGAAACTGCCTCTATGCTGTAATTTTCAGAACTGCTGTCAATGCCCAAATATGAAATGAATTGAGAAGCAGCTTCAAACTACCCTTAATGAAACATGCAACTGGGGTTTTGTTTCTTTATATCCAAATCCATTTGCATTAATTTTTGCTTCCAGCAATTTTTGCATCCAGACTTGTAGCTGTAACTGAGTAATGCTGCAATATTTGTTATTGAGACTAATTCTTTACAATAAGCTGATTTAATGTTATTTCATACAAATGAAGCTTAGGCCTATACTAGAGCTATGAATATCCTTTAGATACTCTCTTCAACGTTTTTGGGAACAGATGGGCATTCTTTGCTTCAGGTTTATAGAACTTAATCTGCTCAAAGCTGGAGTGGTCTTTGTTTTATACTTCAGTAAGAGATTCTGCTCTGAAAATGAACAATTATGTATATCATTTGGTCTTAGGTTCTGTACAGGGACATCTTTTGCTTCTTATATCAAGAATTCATACACTGAATCATTTGAACCTCCACTATCCATATTTGACATCAAAAACTATCTTTGCAGTATTCTGCAAAGTCTACAATCTCTGTGAAAACATCTCACCTGGGCTATGTTTTCATGCCTCAGTGGGCTATACATTTTACGTATAGATGATCTGCTATTTCACTTTTCAGTCTAAATATCCAGTCGTCGTGTCATTGATTATGTTTGTTCTCTGAGACACATGCCATGTCTGATGGTCAATCTATTTTACTTTGGATATAACCTTTCTCACATTCGCTTTAAGGAGTCAGATAAAAACTGGAAGTTCCTACCATTTGAGTTATCCATTCTCATTCCTGCTCTTAAAGGTGACTTGGCTAGCTGCCCACAGGATACCCTCTTTGGCTTCTATGCTCACTGCAGAGTTTTATATAATTTCTTTTGCTTTGGATCACACAGAGGCTAAGTGGTAAAGTTAGTTTATAAACTCACTTAGTTTTATGCTAACATTTATCATAGTTCACACCTGCCACACAGTCTCTGTTATTACAGTTCTGCTGGATAGCTGATCTACTGACAAGGTAACCAAATCATAACCCTACTGCCACTGGAAAATTACAATCTAGTTATACAAGGTTCCTAGAAAGGAAATTGTTTTAGGATAGCTCTACATTGTATAGCCATTGTTTTGTCACCCACTAATACTTGTTACTTTGTAGTAAACAGTGCAACATACTTCTATAGTAACCCATCTCTCGCCTTCTTGCCATCATTTTGATACTCAATGATAGTGCTTTAAAAATGATTTCATTCCCAATGTATCTTTGATGTTGGACAGCGTCATTGGAAATGGTGGTGCTGCTTTTAGAAGCTCTTGGCTTTTAACTCTAAATCAAATCTGTTCACAACCCATATTGACAGGAAACAATCAAGTAGACTTAAGATCACAGTAACAATATCCTTGTATGAGTCACAACTTAGGCAGCTAGATATTTAATAAAATGCTTTTCACATTCACACCACAGTTTAGCTAGTCATAAGACAAGACCTTGCCATGTGGTAGTTTATATATATTTTCCTCTGCTTAAATTTGAACTCAATACCTCTTGTACCTCAGGCAAGTGCACTACCAACTGAGCTAAATGATTAACCCACTAGTTATTGATATATTATATAGTAAGGCACTTTTTAACAGCTCAAACTATATTTACAAACTATTTAAACAGGCATAAAGCTATACTAACATTGTTAAATTTAAGATCCACAACTCTGGAGGTATTCAACAATAAGTTGTGCATCATCCGGCTACAACCAATTCAGGTATAATCTCACCATAACTTAAGATGTAGACCATGTTCCAGCTACAATTTAGATAGGCTTAAGATAAAATGTTTTCTGTTTTTCATTTTCCATTAATATATTTCTTTTTGAAATAAAGCAATGATCACATTTCTTTTTGTTCCATGGTTGTATCATAATGTGAATCTACCAGTAAATATGCTGTTTTTTCTTTCTTAAAATACTCAGTATATAGAAACATGTGCATCTTTATTGCTCATTTAATGAGTATTTGTTTTACATATATATTAATAATATGTTACCAATTGTTCTTCCTATCAATTTCAGATTTTAAAGCGAAAGAAACATCATCATAGTCATGTCTTTGCAATAGAACTAGTTAAAGGGAACAATGGTCTTGGATTTAGTATTGCAGGGGGAATAGGCAACCAGCATGTACCAGGAGACAATGGAATTTACATCACTAAAATTATAGTGGGAGAAGCAGCTCATACAGATGGCACACTGAATGTAGGAGATAAATTAATTGCTGTAAGTATTATTAGACTGGTTAAAGTCTTTGCTTCTGCTATCTGTAAAATAACATTTATAAAATTAGGATTGATTTACTTGTTATAGTTAGATATTTTACTAAGAAAAATTCAAGTTGTATTGATGTTTATTTATTTGTATATCATTTACAAATGAAGTTTCTACACCTTGACATGATATCACTTTTCAAGTTTCAGATAGTGAAAAAGAAGATCCTATTTTAATTCAAATTCTCCATATTAAATTTCAAATGAATTTCTATTAGAAAAACTAGAATGTTTTTTACTGTAATGGTTTGTAATAAAGATATTTTCAGTGGTATAAATGAAATATCTTAGTTTTTAGTCTCATGATATATGACTAATAGTATTCACTTTTTAACGTTTTAGTTTGGATAATTGTAGATTAGATCATTTAGTGTTGTGAAACCATGAGATCAATGAAATATATCAACTTTTTACAAATCTATACTTCTTTGGTCACCGACACCCACTAATCTTATCCATTTCTTAATTAATACATAATATATGGATATCAGTTGAAAATATCATTCTTACATTAAATCAGTTGTGTGAAAAACACTATTTTTGATGTTGAAAACTTGCTGTGACAACTTGAACACACAAACATATAAGTATATATATATATATATATATATAGAAAATTAATATTTAAACAGTCAAGCAAAATAAAATCAAAAGGAAGGACTGCAATTAATTTTAATTTTTTTTTGTTGGGTTTGTTTTGTTGATTTATACATATATATATATATATACACAGACACATGATTTAAATTGAATCAGAGTACTAGAAGATACATTGTTATATCGGATGGTAATTTCTTGATCAGCAATAGGAAATTATATTTTATTTGTAATTAATCAAATTTAATTAAGTTAATATACCCTGGCACAATGTGTATGTAGTTGAACTGTCATTAATAAGCTTGAAGATACAAATCAAGGCTTTATATGCACTAGAAAATTGTAACTTGACTTGTCTTAACAATTACAATGTTACTTATTGGTGATTTGTAGGTCAATGACAAAAAATTAGAGGATGTTACACATGAAGAAGCTGTAGCTATATTGAAAGCTACTTCCAATCGTGTGGTCCTCACAGTGAGAAAAAGAAGAGCATTACCTATTTATATGAATCACCCACTATCACTTCCTCTTCCAACTCAACCTTCTCAAGAAAACATTGAAATAGTCACTACAACATCATGTAAGTTGGTAGTTTACTCAAGTATAGTTGTAAAAAAACTGACTATAAACTAAAATGTTTAAACTGTTCTATGTTATGCAATTAACCTTTTTGTTCTGAAACTCCAAAGTAGACTGTTTGATATTCATTGTGTATCAGCATTCTTTAATAACATTAGCCATAAATGTTTCTGTTTCTTAATACCTATCTTTAATTCATATGAACATAAACACCACTGATTGTAGTAAATCGATTCACATAGACTATCTAAACAGCTTAAGTACACTTGGTAATTCTTCTATGACTGAGCACCTTAATAAAGTTTAATTAATTCATTTGTAACTTGAATATCATATGTAGAGAATGTGTGGGCAATCTATGACTGTACACCTTAATTTAAGTTTAATATTATATTTATATGAACACCGTAAGTATATTATAATTAATTGTATCTCGACCTGAATATCTGAAGAAAAAACACTTCACTTAATATATTGTAGTCATGTTAAATATTATAATTAATTTTATATTTTTTCTAAGGTTACCTTAGTTTTCTTCTAGCATGAATACTTTGACAAGCATTTTCTAACCTTTATGATAAGTGAACAACACAGTTACAGTTAATTCTTTCAGTAGCAATACACCTTAATCAGACAGTCTTAACTTGTATTCTACTTACAGCTAATAAGGTGGGCTTTAATTGACTTCATTTCTTTCTGTTAGTATTAAACTTGGATAAACTCTTTTAATTATATATTTTTTCTAAAACAAAATGCTGTAATTGGACTGTCATTAATTAATTTGTTTTGTAATTTTCACACACACACACACACACACTTCCCAGAAAATGTTTCTATAACCTCTATAAGTGTAATATTTTCTAAACTTTAACATAATGATTATTTAAATGAGTTCAATAATTTTATAGGTCTTTATAATATAAGTAAATTTATTTTCTTTTTCTTACTTTAGAATTCTTCATAAAGGATTTTTCTTTTACCAACTAGATGACATATGTATGACTTATCTCTAAACACTTTAATATATAAATGTGAAGAATATGAGAAAATTATCTGCAACTTCTTTTGTTTCACCCAAAGTGTACAATTCAATTTTTAAACTTAACATTACCGAGAACTTGTACCATTGTGTTTAGGAAAAATCATTAGGTGGTCTATCATTAGTCTCAAACATTTACCTGTAATAAATGTCATAGATTTACATAAAATGAAGTAATATGGACAAATTATCTCTTGATACTTACAACATGTATGGTGTAGAGTTTTGAAAATTAGAGTAATCTATACTTTTAATCTGATTCTTTCACAGTAAATATTCCTATCACAGAACCTCACAGTGACCTGACATCAAACACCAAAACATTCAAGGAGCCAAGTGAAGAAGACATAACAAGGTAAGCTTACACACTAATATTTTCTTTAGAAGTAATGTATCAGTTGGATGAAGTAAAATTCAACTTTCTGTACATTGTAAAAAATATATCCTTAATCAGTATTATTCTGTTAAATTTTTTATGCAGATGTTCTGCATGTAGTTATGACATCCTTGTAAGCTGTTTCTGTGTCCCATTCTCTTTTAAATAAGGCAATACCTTGTTTCAAGGTATGGTATAGAGATCTGTACAAGTTAGTATCTCCTTTGAATATGCATATTGAATGATTACTGACATAGGAAATTTAAAGACTGTGCATTTCCTTCATTAAGACCTTGGACGTATTATCTTTATTACTCTTTATCTCACCTTGATCTTGTGCAAACATTTTGTCTTTGATTTGCTCTCGTACCAGAGCAATAAGTTTGACTATATAAATATAGGAGCTGGCAGGTTTAGTAAATATTTACACTGATTTAAGAATAAAAATTGTTGTTTTTATTCAGTCACTTTTATATGCTTATTTTATTTTGCTGTCTATGTTCACTTTATTCTCTGCAAGATATATGGCAAGTGCTAATTTTTTGACAATTATTCCATGTGCTTATATAATGCTTACTTGGACCTATTTCTGTGTTGTGCCATTCTATAGTGAAGTAATACCTATTTGAGGAGTGGTACAGATACTTATATGAGTTTGGAGTTTATCTTTCTTGAAGATAGGTAATAGGAATTATCGTTGATGTATAGTTAATCACAGGATTATGGGATACTGCATTAGTACCTTGGTCTGACTTAACAGTAGTATTATCATTATTCTTGATCTTGTCTTCGTTATTTCAAGACATTTTTTTTCAATCTGATTTCCTGTCCCAGCAGTGAGAATTGAACTACAAATGTAGTAATTGACTAGAAAGTCCAAACTTACACTTTGTTTGAGAATAAAGATTTTGTTGGTTATTTCACTAGTGTTTGATTGTTTATCCTTTGCTGTCTGTTTTCACTTTATTCCATGCAAGAAGTTTCTGGTAAATGCTGTATTACAGATACATGATTCTTTTCTCTGATATCAGAAAACCTGAATAACACAGACTACATTTTTAAGTTATATCTTGATTTCTTGCTCCTCCATGATCTAAACCTTTGCAGCAAAATATTAACCTATGAATTTGTGTTATAATTGATTGAGTCCAAACATCAGTAAGTTAATGTGTTATGTTTAACAATCAGAAGTGAAAAGAAATGCTAAATTATTATCAGCACGTTTTATTATTTGTATGGCCAACAATTATTAACAGACTATGACCTTTTATTCTGTTTTTAATTTAGCAAGTTAAACTAAATACAAATAAACCATTTCAACTTTATATAGTTTGTTTGTTTTTGTATTTTCACGTAAAATTACTCTAGAGTTATCTATGATAGGTGTACCTAGTTTATAAGTGATAGACTAGAGGGAAGACATTAGTCAACACCACTCATTACTAGCTCTTGGGCTATTCTAATTGAGTAGTGGGATTGACTGACACATTACAACACCCCCACGACTGAAAGGGCAAACATGTTCGTTGATGTGATTCGAACCCACAACCCTCAGATTAAAAGTTGAGCACCCTAAACACCATGCTATGCCAGGCCTTCAAATTTAGTATTAGAGTTATTGGCTTTTCAGTGGAATAGAAAGAATTATCTTAGGGTTAAAGAAAGACATGTTCAAAACATTATAAATCTAGAAACTTCACATAAATAGATAAATAAGTATTTAATAGGAAAAAACATTTACATACTGATTGATCTTAAAGTGCCATGTCAGTAAATAAAGCTTAGACTTAGCTCAAAGATAGAATTCTTTCCATGTATGCTTTTTTAAGTTATTCAAAGCTGATATAACTTGGAAAGTGGTAAAACAAATGACAAACTGGTATTAATATTAATATCAGAGGGGGAATGCTGCAGTGCCAGCATTTGTCCTCTCCATAGCACAGCAATCTCAGACACTGACCCAATAAAGCTTGAGATAAGAAATGGGTGGAGATTTTAAGGACATAAATAGATAAATATGAATTTCACCCTTTGATAACTAGTTCAGAATGTATCCTTAGTTAGGTATATTCACAAAATTTTCTAAATTTTTGTGCAGGTTTTGTATGTTTATGACGTTCTTGTTAACCAAATTTTAAAAGGTTATAAACATGTAGTAATCCTTTTACTACAACCAGCATGTAAATCACTCAGCTCAAATGTATCAGAATCCTCTGTCTTTTTATTTTTCATTCTGATTATATTTATTCTAGCCTTGGAATAAAACCTTAGCTTTCACAAATTTGATCCCTTGTTTTTCAAGATTATTTGTTAAAGACTCTTATTCTATTTCTTCAAAGAACTTATAAAACTTTCACTAATGTTATTTAGGTTCCTACTTCATGCTTTATCACTATAATTTCTGATTATGGTAATATTATTGTAAGTATGAAGACTTTATTAGGTTTAAAATGTCCCTAATAATAGTAATTATGAACAATTGTAATATGATATATTTTTATTGAAAAATAGTAAAGTTCATATATGCTCATGCCATGAACTTAAGATAATAGCTCTTTGTATAATTTGACATTCAGTGTATCCAAATTGAACAATTTGATGCAATATTTTCCTACTTGTTTTTTGTTTTAGCAGTGTTGTTCTTCAATTTTTGTAGCTGTTGTTTCACAGTTATTTTCAGCTATAAAATAGGAATTAATTGGAATATCATTGCAGGTGTGTAACCTAATAATGTCTGATACCAATCATTCACCATAAAGGATATTGTTCTCTGATTTACTAAAATTCTTTGAGTTAAATATTTTTTAAATAATGGCATATAATATTCTATTGGGTTACAGAACAGTTTGCATTGTGGTAATTATTGAGAAAAGTTTCTGATGAATGTAAATTAATGTAATGTAACACTAAAATCTGTGTTTTGACACTTATGGTAAGCACAGCACAGATTGCCCATTGTGTAGCTTTGTGCTTAACAACAAGCACACAAACAAAACAGAATATTATATCCAATTTCAACAGTACTTCAGTAAATCTGTGCAACTTCAGTGGAGAAAAAGGCAGAACTCTTAAAAATAAAAACGTAAATCAGTGAAGGGGACATTAATTTTTTCCACACTCAACCCTTGCATTGCTGTTTTATAGCTAATACACTATAGAACAGTCCATGGCTGTGGCTCAGATCCATAATAGTAAATCAGTAGATCAGCTGAAAAAAGGCTAAGTCATTCTATAATTAGCATATAATGTTTATTTTGGTCTAAATATCTACAGTAGAATACTGGAAACTCTTAAGAATAGAGCAGCAGAAACACATTCTAGAACTGGTAAGATTATTAGTTGTATTGACTGGAGTCACACTGGAAATATGTGAAAGTCTACAAGAAATGGGAATCTCTTTCAGCTACTTGAGCACTTCAATGCAGTCATTGTACTCAAGAGAAAAGTGCCAAAACACTGTATGGTTTGTTTTATTTCTTGTCATTTTTGTCCTAAGATGAGACTTGACTTGAATGAACATCGAAAGTTACCTTCTACAAATAGCAATTGAGAACAGTGTTGTGTTATACAATTTGAAAAAGTGATAGAAGCTGTTTTGATCCAGGAACTGTTTTTAGTATTTCACATATCATGATGATCATGGTGACTGGTTTCAGGGATGCACTGGTGGTCGTGCAGACTTTTACTGTCTCTCCAAGTGTTTTTAGATGTGATATAAAATGAGAAAATCGAAACTGCCATTGTAAAAGTTGACAAAGTTCTTAGGAAGCTTCACAGTCTCTCTAGCTGGTAGCATTTAATACGACTGTCTTTATCACTTTGAGAATGATGAAAATCTCTGGATCAAACCTTTAGTTAATCTCTGCAAATAACATGGTTTATGAAAGCATTACACTGGGTTGGAATGTATTCCTTCAGGGTCTCACAATCTGAATCATTTGGAGGAGTTTCATTGCTGAATTCCTCATAGAACTGGATCTGTTCCTGAATATAATATGAAACAGTTGAGTGAGGTATGGTGCATTCATCTCCTTGCAGACATTCTGACCAGATATGATTAAACTCCATCTGTTTGTTTACCAGATCCTCTAGGAACTGTTTGGTTTGAGTAAAGCTATACTACAGTTCTTAAATGGAGAAGTCGGATGTTTTTGGATGCTTAGATAACTCTTCCACTGTAGAAAAGACAAAGTGAGTAACTGACAGTTCATAAAGTGTGGGAAATGTCTCTAAATAGTTAAGCTTTTTTGTACACCATTCTTTGGTCTGTATAGCTGATTTTAATTCTTTCTAACGTTACAAACACTGCCTCATAATTCTCAAGAATGGAGGAGGGAGAAGATTCTGTCATTGCCCATCTTCTTGGACAAAATGCCCTTATCCTCTTGTATCCAAAAGTAGAGCCCACTTTTTCCCTAGCCATCTGGAAATGGCCCAGGTGTCTGGGGGAAAGAAAGATCAATAGGCAAAGAACGGGCATGACATCAGTAGCTCCTGGGATATCATTTGCTTCAACTACAGAAACCTTATACAGAGTTTTAGTAAATGAGTGGCACATTTGAAATTGAGAATTTTTGGGTCTAAATCATGGGTATGCTGGGCAACACCTGTCATAGTCGTGCTCAGTTTATTCACACTGTCTTATGCTTGACCTCGATTACAGGACACTTGGAGATTAATTACATCGCAGTAATATGTCTTGCACAACAGTGACTAAACGCTTGGAATTAGTAACACTACAATCTGACAGATCTGTGAAACCCTACAATAACTGATAATCACTGTTGACCCAACAACTGTAGAAGGACACATGTTCTACCATAGCCCAATCATTTTCATCTGCCATGATACTTTAAAAGAGTTGTTCTTGTTCAAAAACCGATAGAGCATCGCCCTGTAAATGATCTCTCAAACTCATTTTGGATATTATGAGAAATGTATGTTCTGGATTGCAGCTATGTGGTAAGCAATGAAACGTT